TCAACATTTCCCGGTTCCCACGGGGGGTGGCGGAGGGGCCGGGGGGCACCCGGATGTTGGGGGGGAGGGGGTGGGGGAGGGGCGGGGGTTCCCCCCCCAGTGTCACCAGTACATCCCAGTCCCTCCCAGTACACACCAGTGTCCCCCCCCAGTCTCTCCCAGTCCCTCCCAGTATTCTCCCAGTACATTCCAGTACAGCCCAGTGTGTCCCCCAGTGTGCCCAGTCTCTCCCAGTAAACACCAGTACACCCCAGTGTTCCCTCCGCAGTGTCCCCAGTTCCTCCCAGCACACCCCCAGTCCATCCCAGTCCCCCCCACTCTCTCCCAGTGTCCCCAGTCCCTCCCAGTCACCCCTCAGTGCCCCCCAGTCCATCCCAGTCTCCCCAGTCTCTCCCAGTGCCTCCCAGTCCATCCCAGTGCCCTCCCAGTGCTCCCCAGTGCCCCCAGTGCTCCCCCAGTCCATCCCAGTCCCCCCAGTCCATCCCAGTCCTCCCATGCCCCCCAGTCCCCCAGTCCATCCCAGTGCCCCCAGTCTCTCCCAGTGCCCCCCCAGTCTCTCCCAGTCCATCCCAGTGCCCCCCCAGTCCATCCCAGTACTCCCCAGTCTCTCCCAGTCCCTCCCAGTCCCCCCAGTGCCCCCCATGTCCATCCCAGTGCCCCCCAGTCCCCCATCCATCCCAGTGCCCCCCAGTCTCTCCCAGTCCATCCCAGTGCCCCCCAGTCCCTCCCAGTGCCTCCCAGTCCCCCCCAGTGCCCCCAGTCCCTCCCAGTGCCCCCAGTCCCTCCCAGTCCCTCCCAGTGCCCCCAGTGCTCTCCCAGTCCCTCCCAGTGCCCCCCACTCTCTCCCAGTCCCCTCCAGTGCCCCTCCCAGTCCCTCCCAGTCCCCCCCAGTCTCCCCTAGTGTCCCCCCAGTCCCTCTCAGTCCTCCTCCAGTCCCTCCCAGTCCTCCCAGTCCCCCCCAGTCGCGGTGTGGCCAAAACCGGATCTGCCTCGGGGCTCTGGGTGGTGCCACCCGTGTCATTGTCATTGTCACTCCCGGGGTGTCCCGTGTCATTGTCACACCCCCCCCCAATGTCCCCAACCCTGTCCCCTCCCTGGGGATAAAAAGTGGCTCCAGTCACGGCACTGGGACAGACTGGGACGGACTGGGACAAACTGGGAACATGGGAGTGCCGTGAGTGGGGACACTGGGGGGACATTGAGGGGGTCACTGGGGACATTGAGGGGACACTGGGGCAGACTTGGGGACATTGGGGGTATTTGGGGACATTGGGTTGATGGTGTCACTCCCCCAGGCCCGGCCAGTTGAGGGTCCCCCCCGTCCTCCCCCTCCTCCTGCTGGGCCTGGCAGGGCCAGGGGGACCCCTGGGGACATCGGGGACATCACTGGGGACATCGGGGACAACCCTGGCGACATCGGGTGAGTTTGGGGTCCCAGGCCCAGAGTGGGGAGGGGCCAGTTCCAAACTGGGAGGTCCTGGGGTGGCACTGGGAGGTCTCAGCCCCAAACTGGGAGGTCCCAGTCCCACCCCGTGGGTTTCCCAGCCCCACGCTGGGGGTCCCACCCCCACCCCGGGTGTCCCAACCCCAAACTGGGAGGTCCCAGCCCCAACCTGGGCTGTCCCCGATGTCGCCGTGTCCCCAGGGGGCCGTGTCCTGTACCCGTTCGGGCCGCGCGCGGGGGACGCGCCCACGCCCCGCGGGGACGACGCGACGAGCGCCGAGATCGTCCTGGGGGGAAACTTCTCCTTCTTCGGGACCCGCCCACGCTCCTGCTACGTGGGTGTGACACGCGGGGACACGGGGGTGACATGGGGGTACACGGGAGACACGGGGGGGAGAGACACAGGGGTGACATGGGGGGTGGTACTGGGGGGGACACGGGGGTGACACTGGCAGTCCCAGTCCCATACTGGGAGGGTCTGGGGGTGACACTGGGGTCCGTCCCCACCCCCGGGTGTCCCACGCGTGTCCCTCTGTTTGTGTGTGTCCCCGTGGGGTGTCCCACGCGTGTCCCCCGTCCCCAGGTGAGCACCAACGGGCTGTTGTCCTTCGGGTCGCCACTCTCCGATCCCTTCCCGCTGCCCCTCCCGCTGCCCACGCGGCCCCTCGTGGCGCCGTTCTGGGCCGACGCGGACACGCGTCTCGGGGGTCACGCGTGGTACCGGCAGAGCCGCCGCCCGCGGCTGCTGCGGCGCCTGGAGAGGGACCTGCGGCCCCTCCTGCCCACGGGGGACACGGGGACAGCCCCCCCACGCCTCGCGTGGGCGCTCGTGGCCACCTGGGACCGCGTGGCCTTTTTTGGGGCCGCCTCGGACAAGGTGGGACACGCGTGGGGACACTGGGGGGGGCCGGGCCGGGTGAGGGACACGCGGGGAGGGAGGGAGGAGTCAAAGTGGAGTCCCCCCAACAAATGTGGTGTCCCCGAGAGCTCGGTGGGTGGCACGGGGGTGGGGACACGGCCCGGGGACAGGACACGGTGGCGATGTGAGTGTGTGTCCCTCCCCCCGGCGGTGACACGGTGACAATGGGTATGACACGGTGACAATGTGTGTGCCACCCCCCGGAGGTGACATGGTGACACTGTGTGTGTGTTCCCCCAGGGGTGACACGGTGATGATGTCCCCCCTCCCCCGGAGGTGACACGGTGGCCACGTGTGTGTCCTTCTCCCCTGGGGGTGACACGGTGACAATGTGTGTGTCCCTGGGGCGTGACACGGTGACAATGTGTCCCCTGGAGGTGCCACAGTGACAATGTCCCCCCCCAGACAAACACGTTCCAGGCCGTGCTGGCCTCTGACGGCGTCGCCTCCTTCGTGCTCTTCAACTACGGGGACCTGCAGTGGACGGCGGGGATCGCCCACGGGGGACCCCCACTCGGGGCTGGGGGGCGTCCCCGCGCAGGTGGGGACATGGGGACACCCACGGGGACACCCACAGGGACCCCCACTCTGGCCTGGGATTTGGGGTGGAATTAAAGGGAATTTTGGGCAGAATTCAAGGGGATTTTGGGGTGGAATTAAAGGGGATTTGGGAAGAAATCGGGGATTTTAGGTGGAATTAAAGGGAATTTTGGGTGGAATTAAAGGGGATTTGGGGCGGAATTCAAGGGGATTTCAGGTGCAATGAAGGGATTTTGGGTGCAATTCAAAGGGATTTGGGGTGAAATTAGATGGAATTTTGGGTGGAATTAAAGGGGATTTGGTGTAAAACCAGGGGGATTTCAACTGCAACGAAGGGGATTTCAACTGCAACGAAGGGAATTTTGGGGTGGAATTAAAGGGGATTTTGGGTAGAATTAAAGGGGATTTGGGGAGAAATCAGGGAATTTTGGGTGGAATTAGGGGAATTTTGGGTGGAATTAAAGGCAATTTGGGGTGGAATTAAAGGAGATTTGGGGTGAAACTAAAGGGAATTTTGGGTGGAATTAAAGAGAATTTTGGGACAAAACTAGGGGGCATTTCAGCTGCCACGAAGGGAATTTTGGGTGGAATTAAGGTGATTTGGGGTGGAATTAAAGGGGATTTGGGTGAAATTAAAGGGGATTTGAGGTAGAATTAAGGGAATTTTGGGTGGAATTAAAGGGATTTGGGGTGGAATTAAGGGAACTTTGGGTGAATTAAAGGGGATTTGGGGTGAAATGGCGCATTTTAGGTGAAAACGGGGATTTCAGGTGCAATGAAGGGAATTTTGGGTGAAATTGAAGAGGATTTTGGGTGGAATTAAAGGGGATTTGGGCTGGAATTAAAGGGAATTTTGGGTGGAATTAAAGGGAATTTTGGGTGGAATTAAAGGGAATTTTGGGTGGAATTAAAGGCGATTTGGGGTGAAATCAAGGATTTTAGGTGGAATTAAAGGTGATTTTGGGTGGAATTAAGGGGGATTTGGGGAGAAATCAGGGATTTTAAGTGGAATTAAGGGAATTTTGGGTGGCATTAAAGGGGATTTGGGGTGAAACCAGGGGGCATTTTAGCTGCCACGAAGGGAAGTCCGGGTGGGAAGGGGGGGCTGGAGGTGACACCTCAGTCCTTGGAGGGAGCTGGAGCAGCAGAGCCCCTGCCCACCCCCACGCGTATCCCCCCCCACGTCCCCCCAGGCCGGGTTGACCAGCGGGGACCACGAGCACTTCGTGGCCGTGCCGGGGTCCGGCTCGCCCGCCGTGCTCGGCCTCACCCGCACCAGCAACGTGGGCGTGCCGGGACGGTGGGCGTTCCGCGTGGACCGCCCCGAGACCCCCCACGGGACACCCCCGGCGACCCCCGGGACACTCCCAGGGACTCCCCCCGGGGCCCCAGAGACACTCCCAGGGACCCCCCCGGGAACCCCCACAGGGACACCCCCAGGGACCCCTCCCAGGACACCCCCCGAGTCCGAGCGGGGGTACCAGTGCTGGGGGTGAGCGGGTGAAATGCAGGGCACGGGGGGGGGAGGGAAGGGGCTGTGACCCCACATGCAGAGGGCACCCAAGACTTCCTCCCCCGAGACCCCCTCCGAGACCCTCCCTGCGACCCCTCCCCAAAGCCCTCCCGAGACCCCTCACCCCAAGAAACTCTCCCCGAGACCCCTCCCGAGACCCCCCCGAGGCCCCCCCAGGCCACGGGAAGGAACAACAATTAAACACCTGCTGAGCAACACCTGAGTGAGGGGGGAGGGGCTCACCTGGGGGGCAGGGGGGACACAGGGGAGGACACGAGGGCGACATGTGGGACACGTGGGTGACAGGGGACACGGGTGGGACACGTGGGTGTCATGTGGGACGTGTGTGATGTGGGACATCTGTGGGACGTGTGATATGTGGGATGTGTGTGGGACATGTGGGACACGTGTGGGATATGTGGGACATGTGGGACGTGGGACATCTGTCAGTGGCAAAATCCACTGAGCCACTGAAATTGGGGCTGGAAAACACCAGGACGAGACAGAGGAACAGGGAGGTGGAGATGGTGAGGCACCGAAATTGGGGTTGGAAAACACCGGGATGGGGCAGAAAACACCAGGATGAGGTGGGAAACACCAGGATGAGGTGGAGAAACACCGGGATGAGGTGGAGAAACACCGGGATGAGGTGGAGAAACTCCGGGATGAGGTGGAGAAACTCCGGGATGAGGTGGAGAAACTCCGGGATGAGGTGGAGAAACAGCGGGGTGGGATGGTGAGGCACCGAAATTGGGTTGGAAAACCCTGGGACGAGGCAAATCCCACCGAGCCACTGAAATTAAAGTTGGAAAACACCGGGAGGAGGCAAACCCCGCCCAGCCGAGGCGGGACACCCCAAATCCTTGGAAGAAGGAGGTCCCGATGCCCTGAGCTCCTCCCCAGGGGCTCTGAGTGCTCCCCCAGCTACAGGGAGAAGAAATCCAGCCCCGCGTGTCCGTAGGGGTCGCAGGTCCAGACGGCTCCGGCTCTCCCGGAGCTCTCCAGGAGCCGCTCCAGCTCCGTGCCCAGCGCTCCCAAACATTCCCTGTCCAGATGCTCCTCTGAGGCCTGGCTGGGATCCATCCCTTGCCCGTAGCAATCCGTGGGGATGGGATACACCACCAGGCTCAGCTCCGGCAGCGCCGCCGTCTCCCGCACCAGAGTGCCCAGCCCGGCCCTGGACACGGAATTCCCAAAGAGCCCCAGCGAGCGCAGGCGGGAGCAGCGGCGCAGCGAGGCCAGCAGGGATTCCAGCTGGGAGTCTCCCAGGTGGCATTCCATGAGGTCCAGGTGGAGCAGGGAGGGCAAGGCCTCCTCCAGGAGCTGCCGGAGGGGCCGCAGGAGGCCCCGGGAGAAGTCGTGGCCGCTCAGGTCGAGCCTCTTCAGGGCCGGCGCGTGGGGGCTCCGGCACAGGAAGGAGAGGTCGGAAGGCAGGAGGGAGCAGAAGGTCAATTCCAGGCTTTCCAGAGGGGCCTGGAGTTCACTGCCAGGGCAGGAAGAGGGAGAGGGTGTGACCCCCGGGATGTCACGGAGCTCCAGGAAAACGGGAAGGGTCGGGATGGCCCCCCCAATTCCCTGCAGGGTGAATGGGAGCTACAACTCCCTTCACTGGGGGAATTGGGGGATCCCTGAGGTTGGAAAAGAGCTCCAGGAATTGGAATTCAACCTGTGAGAAGGGTGGGATTGTGGAGCCTTGGGGAGAGCGGGGAGCCTTGGAACTGTGGAGTCACAGAGCAGTGGGATCATGGAGCTACGAGGATATGGAATCACGGGGTTATGGGATTGTGGGAGCCACGAGAGTGTGGATTCGGTGCACCATGGAATCACGGGGTCATGGGATTATTGGGTTCTGGAGTCAGGGAATCACAGGATGAGGGGATTCTGGAGCCATGGAGCCAGCCGGGAGCACCTGGCGGAGCTCCGGGATGCGGCATGGGCTGCCCTCTGGAAACAGGGAAATCTGGGAATTCTGGGGATCACAGGGCCAAGGAGGAATTAAAGTTGGAAAAGGCCTTCCAGACGGTTCAAGTTCAACCCTTGAGAATCCCGGAGTGGAGGAATTATGGGATTGTGGTGCCGTGAAATCACAGAATTGCGGGATAACGGTGCCGTGAAATCACAGAATTGTGGGATAACGATACTGTGAAATCATGGAATTGTGGGATAACAGTGCCATGAAATCATGGAATTGTGGGATAACGGAATCACGGCAAGGGGGGGCACTTACCAGAGGACGTCTCCCAAACTCCCGGAGAGCCTGGAGGATCCCAGGTTGAGCTCCCTGAGGCCCTGCAGCTTTCCCAGCTCCATGGCCAAGCACCGAATTCCCGGCGCCGCCTCCCGCCGCACATCCACGTTGCTGTAGGGCAGCCGGAGGCTCCGGAGCTCCGGGAAGCGGGCGAGGCGCGGCAGGACCGCGGAGAGGCCCTGCAGGCCCAGGTTGTTGAAGCGGAGCTCCACCCTCCGCAGCCCGGAGGGCTCCAGGGATTCCAGGAGGTTCACGATCCCAGCCGGGCTCAGCTCCTCGGCCTGGAGCTCCCGGCACCGGAGGCGCAGCAGGGTGGAATTCCCGACCCGGAGCGCATCCCACACCACCCCGAAGGACGCGGCGCTGACGAACAGGTCGGCGCGGACGTCGATGGACGGAGGGGCCGCGTTCCCAAATCCGGCCCTTTGGAGCTCCCTTTGGAGCTTGGAGAGCTCCAGGCAGGCCTTGGCCAAGGCCACGGTGCCCGACCAGACGCTCATCCCCGCCGGGGCGCGGCCGACATCGTCGTCCCGGAGCCCCGTCACGTCCAGCATGCGGAGCCGGCACCGGCTGGGCCGGGAAAACGAGGAAAACAGGAGTGAACAAGCAGGGAATGAACCACACAGCGGGGTTCTGCTGGATCTGGGATTTTTATCCCATCAGGAATCACCTGGAATGGCGTCCTGGCCCCTCCAGCGCCCGCCGGAGCTGCTCCACCACGGCCAGGAGGACGGACTGGACGCACAGCTTGGAGGGGCCATCCCGGAGCGGCTCCCGGCGCCCCAAAATCCGCTGGAAATCCAGCTCCGGGAAGGGCCAGCGGGCCACCAGATCCCGCAGGACCAGGGGCCTCCCGTCCAGGAAGGCGGCGCGGAAGAGGACGGGGAAGAGCCGGGCGGGAACGGCGGGAAGGGGGCGGCGGGAGACGAGGCGGCGGGCGCTCAGGAACACCAGGGAATCCAGGGAATCCATGGATCCCAGGGGGGCTGCAGGATTTGGGAGGGGGGGCACAGGTGAGGTCGGGGGAACCCCGGGGATGGCCCCAAATCCAGGGATATCCCAGCGAAAAAAAAGGGGAACTTGTGGTAGGAAAAGGGGGAGGCAAAGGGGATGTTGGGGTGGGACACTCCCAAAAAAAAGGGGGTCCTAAAGCTGCCAAAAATCCCCAAACCACCCCAATTAATCCCCACAAACCAGTCCAGGGACTCCCTCTCTCCCTTCAGCACCCCTAAAACAGCCCGCACCCCCACCCCAGGGCCTCCCAAACGGCCCTCAAACCAGTCCAGGAACCCTAAAAACAGCCCCCCCACACCGGGGCCTCTCCAAAGACCCCAAAACCAGCCCAGAGACACCCAAACCAGCCCCCCCCCACCCCAAGGCCTCTCCAAGGACCCCAAAACCAGCCCAGGGACCCCTTCCCTCCCTTCAGCACCCCTAAACCAACCCCAAATCCAGGGATATCCCAGTGAAAAAGGGGGAATTGTGGGAGGAAGAGGGGTAGGCAAACGGGGATGTTGGGGTGGCACTCCTCCCCCCCCAAAACAAAGGGGTGTCTCAGAGCTGCCAAAAATCCCCAAATCACCCCAATTAATCCCCCCAAAATCAGTCCAGGGACCCCCTCCCTCCCTCAGCACCCCTAAAACAGCCCCCACCCACCCGAAGGCCTCCCAAAGGGCCCCCAAACCAGGCCCGGGGATCCCCTCCCTCCCTCCCTCCCTCCCTCCAGCACTCCTAAACCATCCCCCTCCCACCTCAGGGGCTCTCCAAGGGCCCCCAAAACCAGCCCAGGGGCGCCCCCTCACACCCCCCCACCAGCTGAGATATCCCCCAGCCCCCCTAAATCAACCCGGGGCCCCTCCCGAGTCCCCCCACCCCTACGGACCCCCAAACCACCCCAGGGTTCTTCCAGCCCAACGAAAACAGCCCCGCTATCCCAGGAGAGCCCCAGGGACACATTAAACAAGCCCGGGGACCCCTCACAGCCCCCGCGAAGCACTTTTGGGGACCCCTCCCCACCCACCCCCAACGAGG